AGAGTTTGGAAGCGTGGTTTTCTGTAAGATATCTCAGAGCGTGAGAGCTACGCTGAATCTTTATACTCAGAAATGCGAGGGAAGGTTACGCCAGCTTCTAAAGCTGAGGAGCAGCACCTGGAAGTCTTCCCCCAGACATTTTGTCCTCATAGAAAACAGTATTTTGGGGGCTACCACAACGCAGTTCGTGCTTCTGGTTTCTTGTAAACAATTATATGACTGCTGCTGGGTCAGGCGCTAAAAATCGCCCGTCCCACGCTGCCTGCCCCAGAGAGCCTGACACAGCCAGCGTTTCTTTAAAAGCTCACTTCAGAGTTTTATGTTTCTGAGAAAAGACACTATTCTTAGCTACAGACACGTGGAAGAATGCAGGGAAAAGAGATTCCAGATGCACTGGCCGCGAGGGCCCTCTCCATGAGTAATGCGGGAGGAGCGAAGGCGATCAGCTGTGCGAATGCTCTTCCTTGCCCCAAGAGCAATTGTCTCATCCTCACAAGTCCCCAAAAGGCAGCGAGCCAGGGCTCGTAGGCTCCCGTCCGCGTCCCCTGTCAAAACCTGCGCAATCCTTGTACGAAGGCTGCGGGGCGTCACAGCGAGCAGATCTCCCTTGCGCAGATGTTAGTGACAGGCACCACCGCTAGCGCTTAGAAATGGAAAGGACCAAGGATGTCACCTCCTGCCAAGGCAAGGTTGTTTCTGTCCACTCTACAGCAGCTTGTCTAGATTGACGAGTGGCTGAATGTGTGTCAGGAACAGGCGGCTTTTAAGCCTTCCCTTACCTTCTGCTTCTCTGCATAGCTGTCATGCTGCTGCTTTAATTACCCAGCAATAGCAGTGCTTGACCACTGGTATTTTGGGATCATGTTTGTGGCCAAAAAAATAGTTTATGATTGCTTTAGAGAAAGTTCTGCTAGTAATTTAGTAGATTAAAAAAAAAAAAGTCTTCTGCTATACATAGTAACATACTGGTTTGATATATGACAGTATGAAAACACTTTCCTCAGTGTGAACAGTAACTTGGGTCTTTCCAAGAAAGAGAGACACAAAACGTAATTTAAATTCTTCCCGTTACCACTGATAAGCCACAAGCACTGCAGCCCTGACCCTGCAGCTTGTCAGCTGGAAAGGAGGATCTGCGTGCGCCGCTAACTGCTGGTTGCTCAGCATGTGCGGTATTAATAGAATCATAGAATCATCGGGTCGTTTAGGTTGGAAAAGACCTTTAAGATCATCCAGTCCAACCATTAACCTACACTATCAGGTCTACATAATGAGGCTGCCGATTCAGACACAGCTACAAGGAAGCATGTCAGCCTATGCTGAAATCTGCCCCTGGTTGCTGGGTAAGTATTCCTGGAGAGGGTGATGCTGGCGGCTGCGTGTCTTAGTCGGTCGACGATGGTGCTCTTGTTGTTCCTTTAAAACTCATGTGTAAACAGCTAAGTTTCCATAAGAGCAAAGGAGGTACGGTGCAGAGCAATCAGCCATTTTTGTGGAAGGATGCGTGCTCGGTCAGTAATCACATTTTACTGCCATTTATATTTCATCCGCATTTTGCATCTTAAAAGTAGATACTGTTGAGCTGTAGTTGGACGCGAAAGTCCAAGAATGCATCAGGCATGCTCTTTTATCCTTCTCCAGCGAAGCTCTTTTGCCGCACATGCCAAAGGTAATTGTAGAGCCCGTTAAGTATGGAATTTATTACTTGCTGCTGACATCTGATGGAGTTGGGTCTCAACGCATGACTGCTGGATGAAGTAGGCTTGTTTGGTTTGTGTCTCATTTGCTAAAATAGTTAGTTGGAAGAGAGGCATCTTGTTTATCTAGAAAGAGAAGCAAAACCCACCCTCCCTGGTCCTGGGGGATGTCAGCGCTGTCCTCCAGCCGTGCTCTGCCGTGTCTGCTTGAAGAGCCCTGCAGACGTGTAGCCTTACTGTCAAAGATGTGGGAGATGTTCAAGGAGTTCTCAAATCCTTTAAGTGGTCTTTGAAAACACTCTCCTGCCCTTGTCAAATACCAAATACAATGTAGTGTTACTAAACTCTGGGCCTCAGAAATAACAAGGGGGGGTTGGTGGTTATCCTGAGTAACTGTGAATTGTGTGGGGCAAACACATCTTTGTGTGCAGCTGCAGGAGAGGGCAGAAGATGGTCTTCCCTTAGATATGTCTTGGACATATCGGCATACAGCACGCGACCGGTCACTGATGTAACCACTCATTTTCTTGGAACAGCGCTAATAGAAGGGGTTATTCAGTAGAACTCACTTCTCTCCTATGTCTACCGTAGGGCGTGTTGGAGAGCTTTCTGGGCACAGCAGTCACCGGTGCGATATTTTGCCTTTTTGCTGGTCAGCCACTCACAATTTTGAGCAGCACAGGACCTGTCCTTGTCTTTGAACGGCTTCTCTTTAATTTCAGCAAGTAAGTACAAGGGTGGAGGAGGGAGGGAGGGGAGGAACGTCTCACACTAATGAAATACTAGCTAGGGAATGAGGTGGCTGGCGGTGGGGAAGGAGGGGATTTGGTGCATGAAATGAAGCGTCTCTTTGTTCCTTGTTGAGATTGCAGAGCAATCACATCGGGGATTTTCACAGGCACGCATGTCCCAGAGTGCTGCCCGGTGCGTGGGTACGTATCTCCTTGGGGCCTCTTGGAAACTCTTGGCCAAGTCTATGCTGGATGAGAAGTTTGCGCTAGTGACAGCCAGTCTGCTGTTCCTCCCCTGCCGCTGCACGTGTTTCCCTGGCTGCTGTGCCTTTCCCGTAGGAGCAAAGAAAGGAATGCAGCTCTTGGTGATTTCACTAACAAAATCCCGCAGGTCTCAAGGTTACCAAAAATTTGTCCTTAAATCAGTACTCATTTGAAATAGTCACTCTTACTTACAAAAGCAAAAGTGCCTATGACAGAAACAGCTGTCGATCTCTGTTTGTCCCCAGAATTCCTTGGTGGAGCTTTGCTGCATTAAATGTTCTTGGGGTTTTTTTAACTTTTAACTGGTATAAAGAGGTTCTGCTCCCTCCCCACCATGTTAACGTTGATGCGGTGACGATAGCTGACACTCGGAGCTAAAGGGAGCCCATTTTGTTAGGTGTTCTCATTGACTGTTCCCACATCTACAGCGCTGGCAAAATATAATGAGACTCTCTGAAGGACTCAGCATATTTATTGGGGATTTTAAGTGTATATTCGTTGATGATTTTACACGTAGGACTGCTAATGCTTTGGAGGGCGTTTTGCAAGGAGATCATTTTAGGTTGTACAGGAAATGCCCCGAATCGCTTGTAGCCCTCCCTTCCCCCATCAGGGAGTGTTCACGGCATTGCAAGTTGGGAAAGGCTTGCGTTTTCATACAGAAACCCAAGAGCTTTTGGAGCTGAGGCGTTACTAGGCTTTCTTTCAGAAGCAGTCGCCTGTGATGTGGAACAGCTCTTTGGCCGTCGGTGGGTTATTTTTAGAAGAGGTCTATTGAATTATTAAGCTGAACATGGCTGCAGGTTGCAGTAAGGCAGGAGACGTGCATGTTTGGTTGTTCAGTTGTATCTCCTTCCTCATTATAGTTAATCTCTGTGGGCAGTTACTCGGAAATTATTGAGAGCATAGAATCACGTCTTACCTGTGAATACCCTACACGTTGGAGAAGTCTTTTGAGGTACGGAGCTTCTGCTAAGGCAGACAGTATACCTACCTGTGATCCCACATGCGCAGTGCTACGCTGGACTCTTTTGGAGTGCGATGATTTCATTTGGCCACTGAACTCGATAATACTCGTGGCAGCGTGAGCCGTGCCTGTGGAAGTAGTGCAGGGCGGGATGAAACGGGCAGGGTCCGATTCTCCTGCCGCGTGGTCAAAGTTGGTGTTATTTTATAATCAGTACTGATGGGTTCGAAGCCTGCACGGCCTCGCAGCGCGCTCTGACTGCCATTCGACGGAGCCGTATTCATGCCAAGCCGGGGAGAAGTTCATCTTGGAGCCAAGGATGCCACGGAGGGACCGCCGGCTCCTTCAAATGCAACGCAGTCGCCTCCTGCCCAGCCCTGGGACTGCCGCTCTCCTCGGCACGGTCTGCAAGTCCTGCCGAAGAGGGGCAGAGGAGGTGGGCTTTGAGCCTGTCTCTTCCCCCCACTGGAGCGTAGGCAGGGAGGGATGGAGGCTAGAAAAAAGGGACAGAAAATTAGACTAGCCCGGGGAGGGAAACTGGAAGCTGCGGACTGGCGAGAGCTCCGCAGCAGAGCAAGAGGAGGGGGCACCTTTCTTTTCTTTCTTCGACCGGACTAAATGCATGCAATCAGGAATAGACGTGCTGTGGCTGTTTGCATCTGGCGGGCAGGTCATAGCCCAGGTGCAGCGCGCAGAAGGAAAAAAGCGAGATGGAAAAACACTTTGTACTGTTTTGGGAGGGAGAAGGTGGTTATTTTTAACCCGAGGGGGAGGTGATCATTATAAAAGCTATTGTCCTAACAACCTGCTGGGGCAGAATGGCAGGATTTTTCGAGGCAGTCTTTCTCACAAGGAAATTGGAGTCAAGTACTGTGATTTTTCAATAACGCATTTGTGATTGTTCATATTCACAACACCCTGTTCCCTGCTGGGAGCAAAATTAGGAAGACTTCCTTCCCATCTACTGATTCCTTTAAAGTTTGACTCTGCGTGTGTGTGTATATGGAGGGATATCTAAAAAATACCTCACGTACCCCGCCGTGCATCTAAGCTTTGGGTGCCCGCAGGAGCGGCGTTCGCCACGTTGCTGGCAGAGTGGGTCGATGCTATGGGACACCCTGGGTCAACTTGCATCCCGACTCTGCTCCCGTGCAGAGTCTTTCGGATGCACGTTGTGAAACGAGTCTGGCTTTGTGAGCTGGAAACAGCGGGAAGCGAGGCACTGGGCTCCCCGGGAAAGCAGGACCCCAGCCCTTCTGCCTTCCAGCCACAAAAGTTGGGAAAGTTTCCCTTCCAGCGACCTCAGAAGGAAAATTAATCACGGCAGAAGTACTTAGCGTGCTGTATTGGGTATGTGAGATGTCCTGTGCTTTTTCATTTGCTCTGTGAGCTTCAGAAGTGCTGCAGCACTTTGAGGGGTAAAAAAATTTAAAAAAAAAAAAAAATAGTTTAAAACCTTTTGAAGGTCTTCAGTGGTGTGCAGTCAGGATGCCATCTGGGTTTCTGCCAGCCGTCTTCTCCACACTCGGTCAGATGGATGGCAGCTCCTGCTCTCCGAGGCACCTACTCCTGATATTTCAGAGAGCTGTCACTGGGGTTTTCTATTAATTTTTTTTTCCCCCTTTCTCTTTTTCTAAACCATCACTTTGTTTCTTCCTTGCTCCTTACCCTTCTCCCAGGTCAAGCTCTCAGTGTGAGAAGGCTGCGCCTCTCCCTGAGATGTTTGCCTACGATAAGGAGAAAGCTTTGCAGAGACTTGGTTGGAGTTGCACGTGCCTGACCCTGTCCGAGCCTACCTGACGTCCCACCCAGGATCCTTGCGGAAGCGCACGACGCTGCCCAGCAGCAAGCCTTTAACTGGCACCCTGCCTGGGCTGCAGTCTTTCCTCCCATTTTACAATCACAAGGTTGCAGTTCCCCCGGCTTGAGGTGCTCTACTCTGCGCTTTTATACCACGCACTAGAAAATTGCCCTCGAGCCCCTCCGCTGGCCAGGGTTTCTGCTGCTGGTTGGGGTAGGGGCTTGGGGTGCGCCGTGCAAAATTGCTGCCAAGTTTGCCGCCTGCGGGCGAATGCTGACGAAGGGTAGAGGTGTGTAACAGCACACCGTGTCTGCCTGGAAATAGCCTGTAAAAACAGGCACGTGGGAGATGCAAGGACGTTTTTCACTATTACAATGCACGGTTTGAGGGAGTCCATCGGCAGCGGGGACTTGAGTAAATGGTGGGACTTCAGCCAGCTCTGAAGGCATCCGGTTTTGCCAGTGTCCTGGTTTCGGCTGGGATAGAGTTAATTTTCT